TATTAACCCTCGACACCGTCAATAATCTCGGACTTCTATATGCTGGCCAAGGCAAGCTAGATGAGGCCGAGCAGATGTACATACGGGCACTAGCTGGGTACGAGAAGGCGCTGGGACCGGAGCATTTATCAACCCTCCGCACGGTCAACAATCTGGGGGTTCTGTATAGCGACCAAGACAAGCTAGATGAGGCCGAGAAGATGTTTATGCGGGCGGGATCCCGCTAGAAGATACAATAGCACTGCTAATATACTACATTGAACAATTATATTATCCTTTGAGATATCGCTAAATATAGTGCGGACTAGGTCTGTTTAACTCGTTTGCAGATGGTTAGTTCTAGGAGCTCTACGGACCAAACAGTCTTAATATGTAACAATATTCGATGGCAAGTTGGTTTCTCTAGCCGCCTGAGTATCGGTCCGCCGACTTGGCGGGAGCAAACTAAGGCTTGTTTGGGCGCTTTGGCTAGCTGACGCTTGGAATGGCATGCTACTCATACTGGGAACTATCGCTTAGATGAAGATCCGACGGTGAAGCAACAGTAAGGGGTCCTAATGATGATAGCATTAGTATTATACTTTGCAGCCTTCCGTGGCTACCTGGCTACTACAGAATGGGGACAGAAAAGCCGTTCCCACTGTCTCTAATGAGTTTGGACTGATAGGATGAAAAATAAAAATAAAAACCGCCTCCGCCCACAATATCCTCTTAACACAGGGTGGCAGGTGAGTTCGTTTGCCGCCCTCTGTAGTGGTAGGTTTATTCACAATACCCTAACGAGCGGATAATACGGTGGCGCCGTAAATAGTTATAGAGAGTTATGCCACTAACAGTACTTCGTAATGGTCTTCGAACTAGAAAATTGGAGCGAGGCGCTCGAAACTCTACAGGTCTTTCTACGAATAGTGGAAGGAGAAGGCATATCAACATATCATATAAAAGAAAAAGAAGGTGTTCCAAACATTAGCTCAAACTGAACCTCTCTACGTGTAAGTTTAGGCTCCCCAAGAGCCAAAGTGAGCAGGTGTCTGGTATTTTTGGGAAGAAGGAGAGAATTATGTACTCTACACCAAGTACCCATATCGTCTTTGTCTTGTATAATAAACGAGTTTTAATACCAGCATCGTAACACGATAAGAATGGCCCCTGAGATCTCGCTAACGTGTTTCAAAAGTGGAATTACATATGCACAATCTAGCTCCATGAGGGTTGAGGGCCAATCACTTATCTTCTTCCGCCCACTCCGTACTCATACATTCGGAAGGCTCTGGACCCAATATGTCTTAGAAATGGCTGATCATTCCCTGTAATACCTACGCACCCTTCCCTTCCCGCTAAGGCCCGCTTTCATAACGATGAGCGACAGCCAATTTAACTCTTGTAGACATGATCAACGCCTTGAGGTTCGGTGGGCACTTAAGATCTACCCGGCCATTGTGGGTCAGTGTATGCTTCAATATATTTTAGGCTACGGCGAACAAGCTTGTAAGACCCTGCCCTGGCGCCCAAAGTTTAACCTTGAGCCCCAAAAGTCCCATACACAACCAATCCCAGATCTATTATTGACGTGCCAGCGAAATTGGGGACCAAAGCAAAAGCAACAGATCATGTACAATCTGCAAGGTTGTGCCCCGGCATAATAATGCCAGAAGTAGGAAGTGCCCCGCAGAAAGATCAATTTTGCGCTGTTAACGGGCATCGAGTTGGTGCATCGGAAGACCGACGGCCATGGAACAAGCTCCGCCTAGTGGCGTATAACGCTTCCTGGTTTGGCGATATGCAGATGCCAAGAGACCGAGGATTTGGAAACAGCAGCCCAATCATTAACAGATCATGCAGTTACGGAGGAATGAGATGTCAGCCTCAAGACGCTCCTTTTTAACAGTGCATCCATGCTTTTGTAGGGCGCTGAGGCCGTACGGACCAGGAACGCTGGCTGTATCAATCATGTAAATTCAATTTGGTTGAACTTCTCCCGAAGCTATCTCAAGATCAAGTTGAGTACTCCGTGCACGTGGGTGTCTTACGGCCTTTGAACTAATGTACCTAGATATCAATGAAGCTAGAAATGCATGCCTACCCTGCTAAGGGTCATTACTCTCGCAGGCTGCATCCTTAAGAGAAGCAGCTACCATTAGTTCACATTCCATACTACGTACTATATATAGGATACATTTTGGTCTCTATTTCCCGAATCTAGCAATTATCCCAAGCATAATCTTAGATCCTGTCAGAGGGTTTTACAATTAGAGAGCACAGGGGGTGTCGGCGCTTGTCTCATAGTGACACTCTCTAGGAGATTAGAGCCGATCGGTGGGGGCACTTTATATAGTAGAAACAGCCGACTAAGCAGAAAAGAAAGCTTCCCGAGGTTGATTTCGCGAATTTTATGTGGGGGAGCTGGTTGATTAAAGAAGTTCGTCGTAAAAGGAATTTTTCGTTATTAGTATGTTGACTGAATTAAATGAAGCAACGGTATGCGTTCGTAGAACTCAGGTATTCGTTATACCTAGATTCGTGACTACTACGTATAAAGTGGATATGAATACCAATACATTGACCTTACAATCGGGCATATGGAGTATGTCTATAGTGGTCGAAGCCTTGTAAAGTAAGTCTGTGAATACTTCCTTTCACTCCATAATTTGCAGTATATCCCAAGTACTTGGAAACATATCATCGACAAAAGCCATATCCGGCACAAAAGGCTGACGCAGTTCAACATTCGTCTCCCCCGAGTTCTCAACCGGTGGTTCTGACTTCAACAGCTTGTCAATGACATCGGAATGCTGCGCGAGACAAATATCACCCAGGTCCCACCCAAAGTTCTTGCGATGCGACCGCAACGACTCCAAAAGGTCACTCGCCATTCTCAGAGAACCACTTCGTGCAAGACCCGCTGGCTGCTCTGTCTCTAGCGCACACCGAATCAAAAATGTCACTGTCGCTGAAAATATGAACGCTACAACAGGTAGCCAGAAATCACCCAGTTGTGCTTCTCCGAGCTCCTGGACCAGAACCACAATGTCCTCCGCGGTCCTTCGGGCCTCCATAACACGGTTAGCCATTTGCTCTGTATTGGATTCGGGTGCTTGTCGCTCGCGATCTAGGTCGATGCGCCGGAGGAGGAGCCTTGTGGCCAGATATGCAAGACGGAGGTTGGAGGCGCCAGGGATGTTTAGGTTCGAGCCGCGGATGATGATCTTGCGGATGTCTCCTGTGAGTGAGTCCACCCATTTGTTCAACTCTAACTCTAGATTCCTGCTTGGCCCTTGGCTCTCGATGCGGATGCTGTACACTTGCTCCAGACAGCGGTCCAGCACGTCGGTTAAGCTCATGAGCTCGATGAAAACTGCGTTTGCTTCGTTATCTCGTTCCCAATCTGACAAGTACTGGGATATTGGTAGTGGTACGTCATATTGTGATCTTCTGATATGGGGAGGTGTCCCATAAGCAAGACTCGACCTATTGGATGATGAGTCCGTTGGACGTCCTACTGTTTGGAAATGGAGCTCGAAACATACCAGCGATCGTGGAGTAAGATAGACCACCAGATCTTCATTCTTAAGTGCTTCTCCTCTCGTGGAATATCCCACGGGAGTGGGTTTCGATTCAAACCGAGGGAATGGCACAATGCAACGGCTGAACCCAATCTTACCCCGTTGCCTGTCATAGAGGTGGTTGGACGGCCCCCAACATCGAGGAGAATGGCCTTTATCGTGGATATTCCAGCTGACGCGTGCAACTCGGAATACGAGGCTTCAATGGCAAGGTTCCAGACGAAGCGAACGTCTGGGCACCTTTCTCGTGATAGAAGGGGGTCATGTTGCCATTGGGTAAGCACATGGGCATATAGGCACGCTAAAAGTGCAGGAGAAATGCGATGCCTGGCATTTGTGTATTGCGCCCGGAAGGAGCTTTCTTCAAGTAGTGGAAGGCAAGGATTAATTTTTCTCAGATATCTAGTCGCAACAATTAGTTTCCAAAACTTCTGCCGAATACCAATGTCGTCTAACTCACATGTCTATCAAATGTGGCCCCCATGGCTCTACAAGCTTTTCAATGGTCTGCAGCTTATGCAATGCCGGACTAGAGTTTACCATGAGCCCCAGCGGCCGTTTCTGCACCTTCGTGAATATAACCGGGGACGAGGAACTACCCGGCTCGACGGGACGAATTTCACGAATTCCCTGACCACCCGAAATGTTAGATAGATAGTCAGCCAAGACATGATTATCTCCGGTCACTGCCGGACCAAGGATATGCGGATTATCATCTTCGGCTTCAAGAGAGAGTGGTGTATCCTGGTCGTTCTGAGCCTGTGCAACAACCGAGAACTGCGGCGAAGCGGCCACCAGAGGCGGCCGGCTCAGTGACTGGGAAGCTGCGATTGGCGTTCGTAGAGTCGGGGGTGGTAGTAGTGGGCCTTCCTCTGTAGAATGCCTCTTTTGTGGACCTGATTTCGCTCCTCCGTTGGGAAATGTACATTCTGTGCCGTGCGCACGACACATCAAACAGGCCGCGGTGTGGGGCTCCAGTTTGCATCGCGATTTTCTCCGCCGGCATGGTACGCATGCTGGCTTCGTATGAGACCGGTATGGTCGCTCGTCGGCAATTTCCATATTGTCTGTCGATGATTCTCAGGCAGAGGGAAATCCCGCGGCTGGTTCCCCTCGGCGAAATCTGGAAGATGTGCGGCAAAAGTTGATTTGTGTCCTTTTCATAGGATATTATGGAGCAAAGACTGGAAGCTGGTATTCTTAGTTAGGTGTCTTGTATAATGGGATTCATCAGCCTTCGATCCGCCGCTATTCGACAGTCAGAACATCAGTTCGTGGCAGCAGGGAAATTCCGCGGGGAAGAGCGGGTCCGGCTGGAGTTGGTCCGTGAACCTCCCAAGGTCGGACCCGTGAACTTGAAACTGCCGTTTCTGTTGTCTAGATGAATGTAGACTTGTATTTCCTGTTTATAGCTATAGGACCGAAAGAAACACCTAGATATTACAAGGAAGTTTCCCACGGGCAATATGTAACAGGATTAATTGGACATTACTCGCCTGCAACCAATCGGCCCTCACCTATTTGGCCACAGCAAGTTGGACTACGGAATTTCTAACCACTATATTGCGTGTATTCTCCACATATTCGACATGGAATCTGACAAGAGAGTTTTGGGGAAATAAGTGGCCAATTGGACTTGAACAAAACGACTAGCATATGGCGTTTTGACACAATCGAAGCTAGGGATGAGCTCAACGGGATATATAGCACGAAAGAATTACACTTTTATTTCACCTAGCCTCTGTTCCTTTTATTCATTCGTAATAATCATTAAAAATAGACTTCTCAGAATATGACCGGTCTCAAAATTATGCACTGTTTTTGTGCACATTCATTATTTCCAACTTATTTCGAGGCAACCGCCTCAGCAACAACAATTGTCTCCTTGTCAGAGAGACTAACTTTATTCTGCTCCTCGTCTTGGGCTTGGGGCAACTCAGCAGTCTCCTTGGAATGCTCGATGGGAACGTGGGCCCTGACAACGAGCCAAGTAGGCCACACCGCAAAGACTGTGAAGTAAAGTTAGCATTGCTTCTTTCGACCATTTAGTAGGTATCACTTACCAAGAAGGATAGTGTTAACAATCAGTGGCACTCTTCCGCCATGCCATTTTTTCGAGTTGAGGCCGTAGGAGACAGCCTGCGAAAAGCTCTCTTGGCCACGAAGGATACCGGACAACCGGGCTGTATTGTATCAGTAATCTGTAGATAGCATAATCAGTTGGGATGTGGCTTACAGAGTTCGGAGATGTTGTCCGTCATTGTGGAGAGCAGGTAGTAGAGGAAGTTTTGCAGCGATTGCTGAGCGAATTCTGATAAAAGGAAAGATTAGCACAGCGTCGGGATATACGATCATTTACGAGACTCACCCCAGAGCAGGATAACGAAGAATCCTTCAACGAAGCCCTTGTCGGCCCAGTCAAGCGTTGGTGGGTTCTTAGTGTACTTTTCTTGGATAACCCAGCAGTAGACCCAGGCAACGATGTGGACGACGATCACGTAGAAAAAGCTGCCATTTTTCTTAGTCATGGTTCTAGGTTTGATTTGAATGCTGAGATTCTGTACCTGTATTTGATTCTGTTTCTGATAGACAGGCCGCGGTAGTCCAGGAACCTGCTAATGAGTGTCGAGGCAAGAAGAGTGGAGAAGTAGGCTTTGGTCCACATTAGCACTGATGCAAAAGTGCATCCAAATAATGCGAGTGTGTGAACATACTGACGAATCCAATAAGAGCGCGAGCGCGCACGCCGAAGTAGTACGTTTTGAAATCTAGACCAACTAATCAGCAATTGCAGACAGTGAAGAACGGAGAGAGAAATCCATACTTCCTGTGTACATGTTGAAGTATGCGGCCCAGAAGACAGGCAATAGAAAGAGAATCTAGGAATATTAGCCCGTATACAACATAGGCACGATGGACTAATGATGTTAAACATACCTCCCTCCGCCGGCAGACCTTCCAGAGCTCTTTCATTTCGTCACGCCACGAGTCCTGCAGGATAATCCTAACTTTACTTCCATCCGTGCGTTGGACCTTGTCGGGTGACGTGAGGAAGAAGGCTATAGGTACCGCAGTACATTGGAGCGCGATGAAGATGAGATATGTGTCTGTCGTGTGTTAGCAATCGTTCAGGATGCTTAATCTGCCTTTATCAACTTACCAGATCCAACTTTTCCTTTGGCATGGGCGTCGCCAGCACTTTTCCATCGTCAGTAAATTATGTCTGTGACATGGATTGGAATTAGACATACTGGTTGAGGCCAAGGACAATAGCACCTCCCACCAACGGGCCACCTGTACGGAACCAAAGCCAGATGCTGTCTAAGTCAGTCATTGTGCAGCTGGAGAAAATTTGGAATATCTCACTTCATATATTTGCCTCGCTTTGCAGGCTCGGGATAGCCCAGTGCCACAGCACCCTCAGAGGCCCAGAAGAGCCCAGCGCTATAAAGGTCAGTCGATGCTCTTATTCCATTTGATCGATATAGGATACTCACGATAAACCACAAAATACGGATCCAACAAGCACAAACCATACATTTCCCTAGATAGAGATTAGTCTTCATCCCTGGGTCGTAGAGGTAGTTCCAATCGTGATGAAGGACTCACAAAACGGTTATTTGTGTACAAGGCAGCGCTGTATATTAAAGTCAGTGCCAGGATAACAATATTCCATATTCTGCTCTCATGACACATACGAATACAATGGATATCCCACGGCGCCGAGCATCAGGGTCCATCTCAAACCAATCCGGTTGGCGATGGGGCCACCGAACAGACACAAAATTCCCACTAGCAAGCAAGTTAGCGGGAAGCCCAATTCAAAATTCCAATGTGATTTACGGGGTATGTCACATACTGAGACCAAAAACAAGCGCATTCGCTGCATTAATCAAAAAAGGCTCCTGCGCGCCACCTGCACCCAAAGCATTCATGGCGTTCCACAAGCCCGGGGCCGTGAATCCGACACCTCCAATAATACAGGCATTGAAGAGTGTTCCGCGATACCATACTCGCTTTTCGATCGGCGTATCGGACGCCGATATAGAAGCTCGTTCGGCCATTATGGTGCCCACGGGTGGTTTAAGCTTAAAAGGGTAGTAAGCACCTTGAATCAAGCCACGAAAATAAAGTTCCTAAACACCAAGTTAAACGATAGACGGGAACACACTATATATAGCCTTTCCCCTGGAGAAATAAACTAGCGATCTGGAAATCTTAACGTCGCATCGGGCCTATTCTCATCGTTTAGCAAGATTGCGTGCTTTCGAGCTCTTATGCTCTAGTGCCCTTTCGGGACTAGACACGGCTGCCAAGACAGACTTTGAGGAGTTCAGCCAATCAAACGGTGCGACTGCCAGATATTTATGGGGAACTTAGTGGAGAGCCCCGGTTGAGTCAAATGTCGCTTCAATTGCCGCGATATCGAATTGGGCAGGCGGGTAGAATTCGGGGCCGCTGGGGGTCTGGGCTTGATAAGGAAAGAAATTGAGTCACATATACAAAAATGGCGTAAAAGGGAAGAGAAACTTTTATCATTACATAAAAAGTCGTTACGTTTTGACATTTGCAAATTTAGTTTCCAGACAACTCCTTAACCGCAGCGATGATATCGCTCGGACCGAGGCCCTGGGCATTGACTTGCTCGTAGAGACCACCGCAGCCCTCCTTGATAGCACCCATGGACTTGAACTTGGGTGTGAACTTGCGCTCAAGGAGGTGGGTACCCAGGCGAGAGCCGAGACCAGTCTTCTGCGCAATCGACTCAACAACCAGCACGAATGGTGAAGATCCATACAACTTGATGGTCTCCTCGTCAACCACGTTGAGAGTGGGCTTGTTAACCAGACCGACATCGAGGCCTTCCGCGCGCAGGTTCTCGACAGCATCAAGCGAGCGGTAGAGCATATCACCGTACGAGACAATGTAACCAGCAGAGCCCTTGCGGATGACTTCTTCTTTGCCAGGAACGAACTTATAGCCCTCACCGAAGAGCTTCTGGTCGGTGCCCTCCTTCAAGATGTAAGGGACCTTGGCACGGGTGGAGAAGATGAAGCGCATGCCCTTGTTCCAGAACACCTTGTTAACTACGGCCTTCATCTGCTCGCCATCAGCAGGGAAGTACAGTACGGTACTCGCGGCATCCATCAGACCATTGTCGGCGAAGAAGTGGTTCAGACCGAAGTGGCAGGTGTTATCGGCCATCTCGTCCACACCGCTGTGAGAGAAATGCGACAGGACGGTACAGTCGTTCAGACGGGCCATAGTGATCTCGGAGATACACATCTCCAGGAAGGCAGAGAAGGTAGAGAAGACACCTTGGCGCTCTCCATTGCTGCCAAATCCGAATCCGGCTGCAGCAGAGAAATTGCCGCGCTCCATAACACCAGATGGAACAAAGGACTCAGGGTGCTGGGCGCCGATGGCCTTCAGGCCGGTGGAGCCGGCTAAGTCTGAGTCGATGACCATGACGCGACGCTTAGCCTCCTCCTTGCTCAGTTTGTCAAGAATGCCATTCACGGCATCGCCGAAAATGGTGCGGTTTGCACCCTTGTCCTTACTCGAACCCTTGTACGTGTGGGGATTTGAGCCAGGCTTGATATCGTCGTAGAAAGCAAGTTGTTCCTGGCTGTATCCGCGCTTAGTGAGGTATTTGTGAGCGATTTCGACGGGAATGACATCGTGCGCGTGGCATTCTCCTTCGATTTCCTCGATGCCAGCGGCCATCTGGCGGTCGACAACAACAGCGGCGGGACCGTCGTGATTGATGACTTCACACATAGCGCCGTATAAGGAGTCGAGATTCTCGCCCTCGGCACGGAGGACCTTCAGGCCATGTCCATCAAGGGTCCGAGCGATCTCATATCCCTTGAGGTATTCCGAGGGGTGTCCGGCGATTGTGACATCGTTGTTATCGATGAAGATCTTGACGTTCAGATTTCTGGCCACGGCAAGTCGCGCGGCCTCAGCGTCGTTTCCTTCTTGCTGGGATCCATCAGAACCCAACAGAATTACATTCTTGTCCTTGTTGGCCATAGCAATGCCGTTAACCATACCCCACA